TGAATCTGGTTACAGTTTTTTTTCCACAGACACATCAAGTTCAAATCAAAGAGATAAGAGAAAAAAATAATTTTTGTCCTAACAAATACTGAAAACTGTAGAAACTCCTGGACTATATTGTAGATTCATATTAGAAATTGATTTATTTAAAACTAAGAAGTAAAGCAGATTTTTTTAACACAGCTGCAGAGAGTGTGAATGATATATTTCTTTGATTCACCAAAAAGGAAGTGTATTTAGACATTGCAATAATATTCTTCAACAATTAGTGATATAAAGCTGAACTGGAACATAAATGCGGGGGTCTTCTTGACATTTTTACAGCCTCTTAATTTCACTCAGTAACTGAAAAAACACAATTTATTTAGATCAAGTTTCTACAAAACACTTCAGTCAGACTGTGAGATGAAAAGTAAAACAAAATAATCAAAATCAAAAACATAATTTTAACACACAGCTATTGTTGAAACACAAGGATTTGCTGTGAAAAGAGGAAACAAAGATTGAATTTGTAAACAAAAAATGCTGAAAAGAGGGGCTTCAGCTAGTTTTTCTCCAAAATTTTCACTATTTCATAATTCTGCTTAATGACCTTAAAACAGAGATTCCCAAAAATACATCAATCATACTTCTGTGACAGGTTTGTGTTGATTTGTCTTTGCATTTTTTTAATTAGACATGTTGTTATGCAAAGCCTTTGTACATAAAAAAAAAGTCGATTGGAAAAATTTTTAAACTGTATTTCTGATGAAATTTCTCTATAAATTGCTTGGACTCCTGTAAACGTGATTCATCTATCTTTTTAAATAAGGTCTTGGTATAATGGCACAAACTGACATATTTTAGTTTAATCCAGCTTTTCATAGTGTAAACAAAACCACAGAGATGCGTCACACTGCCTTGCTTAAAGCCTGTAACATTTATGTAATAGCATGCAACCTGTTGACACTTTTATCACCAATAGATTTTGGAAGGCAATAGCCTGTGAATGCATCATTGGTTTGAATTTTGCGGTTCATGATTTATTGACTCTTGCAGAGGAAGTCAATAGCTAAATTAGCAGTCTGTCTAAAGGCAAAATTACATTTATGAGGTGGCGTGCAGCTGCTGAACTGAAGTGGATATATGCTTTTAGCAAATATGGATTTGGATTGTTGCTAAGTAATAACTCTAATTCTTTGACCTGAAATCATAAATTTAGAGTTGGGAATTGATTATCCAACTCCAGGCAGCGGTGGAACATGATTTTTTTCTGTGAAAGTGACAATAAATCAAAAGAGAGGAGGCATCCATAGGCTGGAGTGCTCAACAAAGCAATAGGGTAATAGGATTCTCCCTCACTCCTGCTGTATGCAAACAATGTCCAGTTCATTTTCCTTTACACTCTGTAGGTTGTGTTTCTTATTAGTTACATCTAGCCTCTAATTAAATACCTGACTCATTGGGATCTATGACTCCTCATCTAATTACAGGCTGGATATTTACAACAAAAAGGACATGCGGCTCATCAGGAGTCAGGCCCAGAATAAACAGCAGCTCTCTAATTGGAAATTCATTTAGTAGTTCAGGTTTTGATTGGAAGAGGCTCACAGACCTTTCGACATGTTAAATACCCACTGTCTGCATTTAAATAGATATTGAATTTAGTCAGTTATTAAACATCCACTTAGATGCACTTTAATTTGTATTTTTTTAAATGTACTCATCAGCCAGGAGAAACTTTCACAACATTGATCTCCAGAGGAAGTTATTAGTGTTTATATGCAGATAACTATGAAAAAGAAAAGGAAATAGTTTGTGATTATATTTGCAATTCCATCCATCCATTGTCTTTTTCTGTAACCATCTATACATGCAGTCATTGAGGCTGCGCAATATATTGTAAATATAACATCATCATAGTATCAGTACAATTTGGTGAACAATAATTGTTAGCTTATTGTTATGAACTTGCATTTTACCATCATCATGGCTGCAGGTTTTATTGTAATGAACATTTGCATCCTCCTCTCTCTTCCCCATTTTCTGTCTTTTCAATGTTCAGTAAAGTCCACAAGTACCTAAAAAAATATTAAAACAACAACAAAACAAATGCTACCATGGTTTTACTGCTGTATTCATTTTACAATGGCTGCTGGAAAAGACAGCTGTTGTTTTATTGTTGTCTTAATAATCAGAAACTACTTACTGCAATCTTGTTGGTTGTGCAGGAGGCTCCACTACTGCTTTTTAATGATGTCTGGTTGTATAAGTGCAGCCATTTTCATGTGTGATTGAAAACGTACTTCTTCATAGAAGCACAATGGGTCTCCTGTAGTAAGAGTGAAGCTGCTGTGTGGGGGCCTCACCATATGCTGCAAACATATCGACATCTCTCTATGCGTGTAATATTAATATTGGAAAGGATTGCTTGAAATGGAGTAATTGCTGAGTAATATAATACAGTTGCAATGAGGTCACATTTTTCATTTCATTGTAACATTCATGGGAATGGTAATAGTTGTTAATTTCCCAACCGGACACAGATTACAGAAATGGCTGAAAAGGAAAATATGGGACAGAAAGCAGTGGGCACATTTTGAATTTTTGGTTATTACAGTTATTTAAAAAAAAATCTTCATTGTCTAATTTTCTGATGTTATGCAGCCATACTTGTAGTCATAAAACTAACAGCTGAAGTTGCAGATAGAGGTCAAGCTGAGGAAATGCTAAATCTGAAACAATGAGAGTGGAGAAAAGCTCCTGCTCAAGGCTTCAGTGTAACATGGTGGTCTCTTTAAGACTGTCACACTGGACCAGTACCCCATAATGATAAATAGCCTCTATATTTAGATTGCTGTGAAAGTAGACTGTCTTGTCCTTCGCTCTATCCTGGACTCTAAAACATTGTCCCAATTTGAACAGGGTACTGATTACAGTAACAACTATTGAACAAGATCAAGAATGAAATTATACGACACATGACAAATGAAAGACATTCAAACTTTGTGTGTCTCCATTTGTTATAGTTTTCCAGCCATTTCAGCTCCCCTAATGTCATAAAACCAATCACATGTAAAGGTTGGCTCTAGTTTAATTTCAATATTTTGTATATCTCTATATTAGGATGAGTATTAAATAACAACAAATACCACATAGCTAATTTGTACAGTTGGTCTTCTGGTTAAATAAAATAATAAAAACATTGAACAAAATTTTGTTTGATGCGAAAATGTCTTTTTTTTTAGAGTCGTTCAGCTTCATTATGCATTTCAGGGAATTAGTCTAACTGCTCCTAATTTACAATAATTACTTGTCAGCTGGGCTGCACAGTGGTTAGATAGTAAGCTCCATCACCTGAAGATCAACAAGATCTAGAGTTAGTTTCATATTTTCTCTGTCCATGTGGAGCTTGTTGGTGCTCTTAACTTTTAAGTGAGTTTATTTTTTTCTACCCTAATGTGTTTGTGTAACTAGTAGGGATGGCCCAGTTGCACCAGAGGAAAACACTTCATGGCATCACAAATGTTAAAATGTAATTTTTTGAACAAAAATGTGCAATTAAAAGTAGCTTGTTTATTTTACTAATAGACACTCTAACTCATATATTATTCCAAAGGTTGTTTGATTGACAGTGATTTTTGGTTGCAACATTTCACTCAGCTAATAAATATTTCTTATATTTAATAGTATTAGGATGCCAACTTTATTTTGATATTCAGCTTCACTGGAAAAATGTAAAAGTGCTTCCCCGCTGAGCTTTTGGCATAAAAGTCCTAATCCTCTTGGTATCAATTATGGCAGAACCAATGGTTTAGCTTCTGCTTTATTCCTGTGGGTTCTGGTTAGAGAAAAAAGGGAACACTTGTAAGGATTTCCTTCAAACCTTTAATCTCTGAAGATGCAGTTCTACAGGGATGCTTGGCTATAGTAGCGCCTGAGAGAGGTATATTGAATAATGTGATGCCTGAGTTTGATGTTTGACCGATTTCTAAAGAGGAGGAATGTGGGCCAGAGACCACCATGCGGTGAATTAATCCTGTAAAACCTACTACTCTATGGAGTTCAGAGCCTCTACATGAAGTACAACTTATTGAGATGCAACTCAAAGCCTTTTTCTCTTCATTAGTTTCTTTCCTGAGGAGGAAAATGCCCATGGCTCCCAATGTTTATAAGTGGAGAATAAAATGATAAATGTTTTGTATTCTAAGTAAATGTTTAAATGTCCAAAAAATTTTATTCTTATTGAATGTTTGGAGTTATTTTCAGTTCCTTATCTAACAACAAAAACATGGATGGGAAACCTGCACAGGTTGCAAAAAACTATTGCGTGGGGTGACGGTTCACCTTCCAGCTGAACAACAACCGCAAACGAACATCCAGAGTTATAATGTAAAGTGTTCTTTACCCAGAGTTCCTGTTGTTTTAAATGCTCCATTATGCCTGGTTCAAATGCTTGAAGCTCAAGGAAACACCTCATTCTTGTTAGTTGGTCCTTTCAATATGCAGATATAAATCCATTGGGAATCAGATAAAGATTAGTGATTAGTGATTAAAGATTAGTGATTAAAGATTAGTGTGAATAAACGGTTTCTACAGAATATGACTGAGATTTGAAAGAAAGGAGATAAATTCAAGGTTTGACTTGTGCAAAGCTTGTAAAGACATAAAGAGCATAAATAGTTCTTCTGTAATTATTGCAATACCTGATTCTACAAGGTATCGAGTCAGGACCGTTGAATGTAAATGCATGATTTACTTTTTACATTTATGAAAGATTTGAAACCCATGTATTTTTTTTCCAGTTTACAATTATCTTTCAAAAACTATTAAAATACATAAAGGTTTGTGGTTGTCTCATTAAAACTTGAAAGTGGTATGAAGACTTTTACAAGCTGTATTTTCCGTCGCAACATTTCAGTGGAGAATGATTAATTTAGGAAAAAAGGAACATTTAAAAGTTTTAGGAACATCTTGCCCTCTACATTCTAAAACCCTTTCTTTGTCTGTTTTCCATGCAGCTTCACTCAAACTCTGATAAAGGCGACGGATCTGTCCGATACATTCTGAGCGGAGAGGGAGCCGGGTCTATATTTATCATCGACGAGGTGACGGGTGATATTCATGCCACCAAGAGCCTGGATCGAGAGAGGAAAGGACATTATGTCCTGCATGCACAAGCCTTGGACCGCAACACGCAGGAGGCCCTGGAACCGATGTCGGAATTCATTATCAAAGTCCAAGACATCAACGACAATGCACCTCAATTTCCAGATGGACCCTTTGCAGCTACGGTGCCCGAGATGTCTGAAGTGGGTGAGTAGCGCAGCTTAATAACCTGGAGCTCTACATGATTGCCCTCTTGTCAATTGCAATAAGTCAGACAGAGAATGAAAAAGACGGTCACAATGAACTTGAGTGGTTTTATTTGCTACTTTTTATGTAACACTCATGCCATCATTACATTTGTGCTCTGCAGTAAAAAGGGAAAATATCAAGGGAGGACCTTTGGCTTCACCCCTGAGTATAATTTAAAACTACTCAGAGTAAAATGCCCCAGTGGAAAAGATGGAGTTAATGTGAAAAAGTGCAATCAAACATTTACCCTGTGCTGCATTTTGGTTTGACTATCTTCTCCAGTATGTTTGATCTTTTCTAAGCCCGAGTCCTCTTTTTCATCTCTCTCTCTCTCGCTCTCTCTCTCTCCTCCTTGCTCTCTTGCTCTCTCTCTCGGGTGGGCAGGTCTTTATGAGCACTCAATAGTGCCTCCACCATCACCACTGTAGAGAACCCCCACACTACAGAGGAATGTAAAGCCTCCAACCTCCTTCGCTGAGACAGCCACTCTTTGCATGCCCAAGCATCATGTGGCAACACATCCATGTTTTATTTCTTTTTTTTCTCTGCTTCTGTTTATAGCTTGGGTGAACAAAAGCTGCTGCTTGTTTTTTTTGTTTGTTTGTTTTTGCTTTTTTTTTTTTTCTCTCAGTCCAGTGGATTTTTGCCTCACGGCGCAACAGCTTTAAAGTATGACGCTCTAATACTTTAAAATGATATGTAGCTTGGCCCGAATTGCAGCCAAACTGCTGTCAGAGTGATTTTGCTTCAAATGCAACATAAAGAAGCAGGTTTGTTGAACTGACAGTGAGGTGGAAGCATCCCGTTTATTTCTGTCCTGTATGAAATCACCCACAGAAATATATCAGTGAATGAACGGCTTCATCTGGGTTGGAGGAGATGCAGGAATCCGATTAAACATGCAGAGCTCGACAGGTCTGTCAGAGCCCTCTTTATATACGGTCAATATCTCGATGGTTGCTCTCATGAATATTCATGAGCAGCCCAGGCCTGATGCATAGAGCTCTGCTTGCTACTGTGTAGGTTTCTGACTAAAGCATGTCAAATAAATGTTTCATAATCGCAGGTGATAAATATTTAGGTGTTGGTTTAGGGATAAATGTGTTGGCTCCTACCAGGGGAGAGAATCATACATTTTTAACCAACTGTGAAGGAGTTAAATTTTTCGATCCTGACCTCTAGTTTGAATTAAAAGCAAAGTGGATTGAACTCAGTGTTGTGAGAAGCACTGCTTTATTACATACATGATGATGTTGGAACTACAAATTTACAAGTAGACACTAGTTTGGCCACTTAAATATTTCTTCAGTATTGTTTATTTTTAATTTTTTTGGTCACGGTTCAGATTATTAAACAGATTTCAATAACAGATAACTAGAGTGGATAAATTCGCCATCAGGTGAATTAATTAAAGGTTATTTCATTAAGAAGTCAAGCAACACCAAGGACTGCATATTCTTAGACCTGTTGAATTTAACTCAGATCTGAGTTAAATCCTGCAGGTTTTACTAAATTAAATTTAAGACTTTTTAAGACCACTATGAATGAAATTTAAAACTTGTAGCACAACAGAAATGTACAAAATAAAACCACAAAATTTTATATAACAGTAGTGCCTGGCTTTTTCGTAAGGAATGCATGTTGAATTGTATGGGTTGGCAACAGAGGCAGAGAAAATGTCATCCAGCCAATTAAAACTATTTAGCTAGCTAGCAAGGGTTTATTAGCTGCTAGTTAGCAATAGCCGTAACCGACTTGAATCACAATGCAGTGAAGATGTTTTTGCGCGACTCAAACATTTGCTTGATAGAAAAGTCCTGCGAGAAAAATAAACTACATGGAGTACAAGTTTAAATAGTTTTTTTTTAAAACTCAACAGTTTGGTTTTGTAATTTCATCCACTTGGTGTGAACACATACTGAGAGAGCTTGTGTGAGATTTAAAAGCACACTTCCCAAATTCTTTGTCACAGCAGTCTCAGCACGCTCAGAACAGTGGCACAAAAAGTAACACCATAAAGTTTTTAACTAAATGCATAAAAAGTGAGGATGTTTAATCCTGTCACTGGGAAAGTGAAGGATGTTAAAACACGGATGTGACGTCCGTGCAAAGGTGACACCAACAACTCAATTGCAGTTAATGGTGGCGCTACCTTAAAAAAGAGGTGTGCTTCAAAACCATCCAATATGTCTGAAATGAAACAATTCTGCAAAGACAAGAGAGGCAAAATTACTTCTGTCATGTAAGAAACACTTATTGGCAGGTGATGTTGCACAATTAGTTACTTTGTTTATTGGATAATTACTTTTTCACATGGAGAGGGTAGTTTGTTTCCCTAAATAAATAGAATTATCATTTAAACACTTTGATTTCTGCATGCAGGTTATTTGATGGAAACATTTTGTGTCCTGAAAAACATGTAAATGTGACAAACGATATCTACAAACAAATGTCTGTAAAGGCTCAATCATTGTTTACAAAATGCAGGATTCTCTTTCACACTATGTCAACGTTTAAGATTGTAGCTGTCAATACTTCAGATTGTCTTGAAGAGTCAACCTCTCAGTTTTCATCTTTACCTATTCCAAGGTTTTGGCACAAACTCAATCATCAGTTGCATGTGCTAAACTCAATCACCACTGACATCCCAAAGAAATAAGTCAGCAGCAGTGATGGGTAAAACAATTCTCCTTTTTGCCCGCCCCTGTTATACTTTTGCTCGTTAAAGTAAATCGACTTCAGATGAGTGTCTTCAGCATCAAATCGGCTGTAACAATCAAATGTCCTCACACTCCTGAGCACTAATCCCCCCACCACATTTGTCAATACGAAATCTCTTAAGTGTAGGAATGGGCTGTGTGGGACTGTGGCAGCTAATTGCTTGTGATGTTCCTTTCCCCCTGTCTTAAGTGATTAGCTGGGTACATGTCATCATCTTTACTATATTCACTAGGGCCTTAGTATAGTAGTGAGTACTGGTTTAAAGGGGATCAAGGCACCAGTAGTTTTTTTTTTCCAACAGTGATGTAAAGATGATTTCAGCTTAAGTGACAAGATGAAGAACGATTGTAGGATCATAAGATCGAGGGAGAATAATCTGTGTTAACGCAGTGTCAAGAATTTCAGTCAGAAATGTTGATGCACTTATTGGATTTAAGCTTATGAGCAGGAATGAAAACATCAAAACACAAAGGAAGATCTGGAGCATGGCTGAAGGAGTGCTAGGCGAAACACCTGAATAGATTTTTACTAACCGATTGCGTGTCCAACGGCTACTGTCCTGCATGCTTTAGGTGATTTCCTGGTTCAACAAAACAGAACTGAATGAGTGATTAATTAGTAAGCCTCTGCAGACCTTAGTGACATACTGAGAGGGTAAATTGAATTTGAATTAGATGTGATAGAGCAGGGACAAATCTAAAGATACAGGACATACCAATGACCCATAAACTCTCCACTGAGCCCAACCACCAAAAATCTTTAAGGTGTTTTCAGTATCACAATACAATTATCTGAAGTAAGATAAAATATTTACAAGTATTTCCATGCTGGTACTCATCGGAAAACCCAAATCAGTTCTTGTCCATTTAGAAAAAGTAGCTGAAAGCAGATTTCTCCAAAAGAACAGCTGGTTCCTTTGTAAATATATGTTTTATCTCATCTGAATGAGACCTAGTTTTGACCTATAAAGTCTCAAATAACATCTTGCTGGGAGTTCCTGTCAGTGTAGTGGATTTCTTCCACCCTGATGTTAAAATTCAAACTTAACATCTTGATTCTGGTCGTAGGAAGATGATAAGAACCTGCGATTCGTTTTCAGAGACCAGCTTTGATTTTAAAAGGCCATTACGTATCTCTGTGCAATTGCTGACTTTAGTAAGTGCTGAAGAAGTGGATAAATTGATGTTTGTCAGCAGGTGTGATAAGTGGATGTGAAAATGTGAATGGAGTAATTTGTATGCGCTGAATTAAATACATATTTAAAATGCAGTTTTGAAGGAAATTAAGAAAAGATAATTAATTCAGATTTTTACAGCAGTTTGGCTTTAAAATGTGCTATTGACCACATTCTTTACTTTTGCCTTGCAATATTACAGTTCGAGGGCAACGTGTGAATGTGCTATCTTCAGCTGAAAGAAACCCCAAAACTGACTTTTTTTTGTACAAAAAGATTAAAATCAATTGTCAACATGCAACTTCATCTATCACTGCTAGAAACTACTGATCAGGCCTGAAATTTGGATTTAGTCATGGAATTAGACCTGAACAAGTACACAAGGCACAAAATACAATGTTTGGGGACATGACAAGTATTACACTTCAAAAAACTTAGCAGGACTTAGATTTATCTTTATTATGAAATAAGCTTAATTTCTTCTTGTTCTGCTAAAACATGTTCTATGGACACATCAACTACATGAGTCACAACTTTATTATCTCTGAAAACACACTAAGATTCTGAGGCATTGTGGGTTTCTGTTGTTTCCTTACACTTGAAACGACTCGGAGTAAAACCTGCAACTACAAACGCTTCCATTTTTAATCCCATTCAATCTAAACTCCAAAGTAGAGGGTAAACAACAGGCTCCTCACAATGAGTCAGTGATAATGATGTCGGAAAATGTTCTGGAAATTCCCAAATGAAGGCCTATTTAATTTGCTGCAACTAAAAATAAACACAGAAAATACTACATTCGTTTTATTCCCATAAACACTGATTTTCCTCTTCGGGCTGAGTGTGCTTCTATTGAAAAGAACAAAAACATGTTGATTTTTGTTTCTTGTCTCATCCAGAGACTGTAAAAGATTTTAATGAAGTAAAAAGTTGATTGTTTTTGATTATGATGCACCAGGGTCATTCTCATTTCTTCTTCTTTTGTTATTTTGCTTTATTTTTGAGCAGTAGTTTATAAAAACAGGCACACATAACATTGAGTTCAATGACTGCAAACCTTTTATTATCATCATCATAAAAGCCATAGCGCTCTAAATATAAAGTGCCATGGCTGATGGCACATTGCCATTTAAACCTGTAGTTTGTAACATTTATAAACAAATCTTTATTATTATTTATTCTTTTTACATATATAAGACTTTCACAGATAACCTGTCAAAAAACCAAGCTCATTTACCTCCTCCCTGTGGTTTGAAGAAATGCACCACTCCTGGTCAGAAACAACCAATCACAGCCAAGAGGAAGGTCTTAGTGCTGGCAATCATGTTCATGCACACGCTGCACCTGTACTGATGGCAGAGAAATAACTTACTGTTCCAGGAAAACCATTTATCCACGGTCATCGTGACCATGCTAACTAGCTGTAGTGTAGCAATGTAAAGACCCACCCCCTGGTTCTGATTGGTTGTTTCTCATCATGTATTTCTGTCGATGGCAGTAGGGCCACTTGGAGAAAACAGTTTGATTTTTATGTTGTTGTTTTTTTTTCACAGTCGTAGCAACAGTTTTAACAAATTTGTAAAAACACATATTGTCTTTAAAAGTTATTTACTGCAGCTTTACGTGTAAGTGTGAATATCTAATGAATGCACTGTTATGCAACCTGCATAGATACTTAAAGATGAATTTATTAAAGCAGGAGTAAAGCTGTGTGTTAAAAATTTGATTCTAACTTTTATTCATTTAGAACAAATTTAGATTGCAAAGCAATAAAGGAGTTGATGATTTCCACTAAAGCCATCCCCGCATGGTTGCTTGCATTCACAGCTAACCAGCATGCTGTGGACTGTTTATGATTTATGGCGGCTGACATTGCACTCTGCTCCACCGGGTAACTGAAAGAAGGGGAAAAAAATCACATCTGGTAGGACTCAGAGGAGTTTCACTGTGCAATTTCCAAAGAAGCTCAGGAAAGAAAGGCGAGAGTCCAGGCAGCTGCACGATGCATCATGCGGCCTACATCAAATCACACTGTAGTGCTTCCATATATAAATACAGCAGTGCATCAAATAAGCCAGTTGTGCAATTACAGTGCACTCATCATGTGATTAAAAGGGGTCAATGAAGCCTGTAATGCCATGTGAGCAACACTTGGTGTGTAAAATTGAACCTCAATTGCTTATACAATGAGCTGCAGAATAAAAGGTCAGCATTAGTTCAGCTTTTTAATCACTTGTCTTTATTTTATGGTGCTTTTTTAATTCATAAACGTAAGTGCATTCATAATATTTTCTCAGCTGAGAAAGGCTATTAAAAACATTCTCAATAACTCGCATGTGATGGAGATCATGCATTGTGCAAAATGATTTTTTAAATGTCCCCATTACATATTCGTAAACCTTTTTTTCTTTAAGTGATTTATTGTCTGATCAGATGCGCTGGAGCTGTTGACATACATTTCTTATGGGCTTCTAGTTTTTTGTTGAAATTTTGAGCTCTTAATTTGAACTGCTTTTTCCAAGATGAACATATTATACAACAAAAATCTGAAATTATTATTTTTTTTTTCAAAGAAGATCTGGATCCACAAGTTTGACTATTTAGTATAATTTCTTTGCACATTGTATCTCCACCACAGTCTCATTGCAGGCATGAATGAACCTCAGAGGATTTTTTTCCAGCCATATGTTAACCAGTTTTGAATCATGCTAAATTAGCATTCTTGCTGAGTAGCTCCTTGTTTCTTTACATTACACAGGGTGACTTTGTTTGAAGTCTGACTAGTATTTAAACTATTCTTCTCTCTCTAGCCATGTCTAGATGTCTAAATCTTCTGGGATTGTAATGTTCTAGTTGTGGTTGCTTGGAGATTTCAAACCAGTGCACAATTTTACATGAGTGTTACTACATTGCCATTAGAAAACCTTTTACAGAGAAAGCAGGAAATCACTTTTGCTTCTCTTTTCTTCTATTTTTAGGTACGTCCGTGTTGCAAGTCACAGCGACGGATGCTGACGACCCAACCTACGGAAACAGCGCCAGGATAGTCTACAGTATTTTACAAGGACAGCCATATTTCTCAGTGGACCCCAAAACAGGTGCCGTATTCCTAATTGCTGAAAATAAAATATTGCAGTAAACGCCTATTTGCATAGAAGCACTAAAAGCAACATCCAAAAGTATTATCACCTTTGAATTTCTTTACATCTTGGCATCTACAAACCTGAATGTTTTTACTGGGACTTTTGTGGTTCACTGACAAAAGCAACAGGTGACTTTGAGAAATGTTTCTGACTTGAAAAACAAATTTTTTATTCAGATCCTGTTACTCTGATGATTCTAAATAAAGTCCAATGAACAGCTAAGAGGCCTTCATAGCTCAGGTGGAACAATATGCAGACGACATAATTATTAGTTTGCTGTCTAGAAATCTGGAAAATTTGCCTTTTCAGAGATTTTTCAGTATATAAAATATTCAAAAGAAAAAGCTTTTTGACAAGCCAAGCTACTAGACATGCTTGTGATTAGCATTTTCAAATCAGACAATCTAATTGATTGAATTCAGGAGTAGAAATAAGAAAAACTGCAGATATTGCTAATATGGTTTCTAATATGGGCATTGTGTATATTTAGTGTTTTAACTTAAAATAGGCAGTACTAGTTGTTTTTAGTGGAGGTCTCAAGGTAATTTAAGCTGATGGAAGATAGCTGTTGACCCCTCTTGACAATACAATGTCTGCTGCACATTGCATTGTTCTATCATCTAAAATGGTAGTAAAATACAACATAGATTGTTGTTGTAATGTAACCCAGTGGGGAAAAGCCTGGGGTAAAAATGCTCCTGCAAGGTATTGTACAACTATTGTTGTTTAACTCTGAAAATGTAAGAAATCTTTCCGGTGCTATTTTGACCACATCATAAAAGTTAAAGCTACATAGTGCAGTCATGGCTGAGTCACAGAACCGCTATATTGTGAAGCACGCGAACCTCGCTGTGGACCATAAGTAAATTCTCTTGGGACTACATAGACATTTGCAGAACTCTTTCCAGCAAGCCATTGTTTCCTGCTCAGTGGTGCTCAGACTTTTAAAGTTCATCCTTTGTTTGAGAGGCCTCTTCTATAATCCATTAAACATTAATAAACCTTCTACGGTACAAGACATATGACTTTTATCTGATGTAAAAAATGCAACATTTTCAGCGTGTGTACATCTTTTTTCTTTCTTATTTCTCTGAAACTTACACGGTCATTTGTGCTGCAGCTGCTCATGCATCGAAAGTTGCTTTGCCTCTTCTGGTGCTGCTGTTGGGTAACCTGAACAACTCATCTCTTATTGCCATCTGGGACACATTGCCACCTCCGTAGAGACCGTACCGCCCATGTGAAACGGGAATTTTCATGCTGAATGAGCAATACAAATGAACAGCTGTACATTTTGACTTTACCATGAGGAAAAAAAGACGATTGGGAATTAATGAAACAATTCCACAGTGGCATGGTGGCAGATTTTAGAGTGAATCTTGTTTTTTGTTATTGCAGTGTAAACCAAATGTTTTCACATACTTCTACATATTGTTCACTTTAAAATCTCATACTTTGTGTCCTCTTGAGGCACTTTTTAGTTCAATCACACAGATTTCAAACAGTACATTTAGTCCAGTTCATGATTCAAATTAATTTTAAAAGTTTTGTTTCTAAGGAAACCCAGCTGATTGTATAAAGTTTTTTGCCTTTTTGACTTAATTCTAAGTTATTAATTAAACTTTTTTGTAATTTTATGTATCATATTTCTAAAATATGAAACTTGTGAAGATCAAAATATGGATGGATGGATGGATGGATGGATGGATGGATGGATGGATGGATGGATGGATGGATGGATGGATGGATGGATGGATGGATGGATGGATGGATGGATGGATGGATGGAGGTTAAGGGTTAGGACATTGCTGTTACTGAGCCTGTCGCAATCAGCAATAAATCAATTAATTAATTAAAATGAGCTCAAAAATATCCATTTGATTGATTTATAATGTTTTTTTTTCTTTTCTGTGACTTTTTCTACCAAAACAGAAAACAAGTCTTCACTCTGGTGCTTTGGTCTCAACTAGCCCTGTTTTTGTTTACAGACACGTCATAATTCATTTTATTTGTTGCTTCTGTTGGGTTTTTTTGTTTGTTTTGGAGATTTAAAATGTCCTTAAGGTCCAGTGATAAACGTTCATGTGTACTTGCACTATTATGCCTTCAAGGACAATATTAATATTGTCCTTGAAGTTATTGCAATAACTTCAATAACAATTTATCACCCAGCGAAATTAGTTACTGTGACAACCTGAGTTGTAACCTGATGTTTTTTAATCATTCTTTATGGAGATAAAAGGATGATATGTGCAGTTTCTCCCTGCGTTTCCCTGTAAACAGAGTCCTGGATGAATCAGATGCCTCACTTTGCCTGAGCTGACTCTGCAGCTTGTCTGAGTTCTAATTGGGCGTGGGGCATGCAGAGGATGGGGATGTGATGGAAGGCCTCAGCCAGTTGCTCTCTCCACACAGCACTATTCCACCCACACATATTAATTTATACAAGTAGGCTGCTGCCTTTTTTTGTCACTGGCACACCAGCCTTGTCTCTAAAATTAGCACCTAGACTCCTGTTGGTCAGCAGAGGACGGACACATGCGGCGAGCTGCACTTTGATTTGATGGTTTACACAATCAGCTGAGGTATTAAAGTAGTTGTGCTGGCGCACCGCCACGTTCCAGCTCCCCGCCGGAGAGATGAAGCCACTTCTGCAGATGTCTTGCGGTGCATTAGCATGCTTTCACGTGCGCACATCCTCCTGTACTCGATGCCCATTATGCTTAATCTGCAAGGACACCTTCATGGGAATTTCACAAACTATTGTGGGGGCGTTATACAAGTGCTCACACATGCAGCGTATTCCCCTCTGAGCAAAGGTTGCCATCCTGACAGAGAAGTGACTGAAGATTATTTAAGCACAGAAGGTAATCATGGCATTTGGCACACACAGATGGCGCTGAAGAAAGACATAAGGGATTGCCTCGGACTTGACCCAAATCCTCAGCAGGAGTCAAAGTGACCGCTTTCACTCAGTTAGTTTCTCCTGACTTGGCCAGTGTGATAACATCCCCTTATATCTGAGAATGACTGGAGAAGCAGGAGTGTCTGACTGCTGACAAATTGCATAAAATGGCAACGATCTTTTCAACCTGGGAAGATGTCACAAATAGTGATAAAGTTATCTCCAAAGCTATCATGAACGTTTATTGCAGCTCTGGAAATGCTCATTAAATATGGCTTTAATATCCGTAATGGCTTGCAGCTGCTTAATGAAGTTTAGCTATTGCAACTAAGAGCTGATGCAGATGCTACTATAACTCTGATTCATTCTTCAGTTCACATATGTTAGCTTTTCAACTGTTTAGGCTTATAACTCGGAGTAGTTGGAAATTCAAATTCAACGCATCTGTCTTGACATATGTACCAAAACATGCTTTATCTCGCAATACAAAAGCAAAATAAGTCCAAGCGTCTTGCTCCTGCTCTGAGAGGTCCATGTGTGTTGGGATCAAGGGTGTTAAATTCAATGCTCTTCATCATCTGGACAAAATATATTAGTTTTTTGTCATATATTTATTTTTTCCACATTATTTCATCATTGTCCATACAGTCAGTTTCAAGGGTTGTTGAAGGAATCTTGATAGTCCAGACAGCACCGAATAGTGTGAGAATAATCCATGTTACTGTTGGGTCATTGTGTTGTCATGGAGTTTTTCGAAGCGTCCTAAAAATCTGTGGCAGGTTTTGTTTGCTACAGTATAAGATGCATGATAAGTCGAAGCTGCAGCATATTTTCCGGCATCATGTCAGCCAACATTATTATTGCACCAGGCAGGTAGACTGTAGTGTGAAAATCCCTGAAGTTATAAACTGTAAAGCTTTTTGTTTTTCTTTTTACTGCAAAACAGTGGAAATGTGGAATCTCTACTGAAGCTCACACAACCCACACATGTTATGGTCACACTATAAATAAAATTAACATACCAAACAGCTTAATCCCTGGCTGTAACGTTGAACTGTCCAATCAGAATTGATTTTGTGTGTGTGGACGGGGCCTGTCCCTGTAGAGTCATTCTTCCCTCTGCGTGTCCCAGGCAAGACATACTTTTTAATTATGCCTTGCCTCATGTAAACATTGCTTTGCATACAGTGTCTCCAGGTTGACTGTCAAGGCTGTTGACTTAGCCGTCCGTAGGATGCAGTCATTTGCAGTGCAAACACTGGGTGTTTGTTTTTTTTTTGTTGAAGGAGTTGAGCCCATTTATGTATGAGGCAGCAAGCATCATTAAAAACTTTTTTTTCTTTCCTCCTGCAGCCTCCTGCTGCATGCTGACATTATGCTCAGGGTTGGGATTAATGCTGCACTATCACCTGCTCAAGGTGATTTTTTTTTTACATTTTTTTTGTTCCCAGTGAATCCCAGAAACCAGCTGCAGTCAAGGTTGCAACGCATTTGTGTTCATTTCAAGCACAAAGCACCTGTCTGCGCCCAGATATTCATGCACACTTTCCCTTCTGGATGCTGTGAAATGACAAAATATTGTAAGGGAACTTGCTCAATGCCATTTTAAAACACGGTTTATACCGAATATATTTTCTCACACTTGCTGCAAATTAGAGCCCATGGAATAAAAAGGTTTTACATTCAGTCAGTGTTTTTAGAAGGTTGCTCAATTCAGAAAATAAACAATCTTTGAAAGAAATTGGACCAAAACGGTATGTTTGTTCCCAATTTTGTGTAGCAGCAGTGAATTATGAAATCAAATGATGTGCCCATTATCTATTGTTTGAAATAAAAATTTGTTTTCAGAATGCCTTGAGCTAATAATAATTTGTGCCTCTGTTTGAGTTGTAGAAATTAATTGTGTAACAGTTAAATAGGCCTATTTTCTAAATCAAAGGCTAATTCTTTTAGACGTGTGACATCTCAAAGTCACTTATAGATGTGCTAGCGGGTGAGAAGAAATGAGTTCATACTTTATAATTACGACTGAAATCACACGGAGGCATTT